AACTCATATCATTGTGGGAAAATTCTACTACCAGTCCTTCATCACCTTACCCGAAATAGGGTGAATACATTTCATTACACTGATTTACTGGTAGTCTCGAAACCCTACTCAAATACGACTTTACATTCCACTTGTCAAAATGTGTGCCTTTTTTTGGCAAATCTAGTGTGGCTCATCACATTTGCTATTCACTCAGACCCCCTCGGTCGCTCCGACTTGGGCCTCCAATCCGGATCCTCTTTTGTCTCTTTGACGAGTTCGTAGCTTGGTGCAGAGAATGGCAAAACTCACTGATGATGCCGACTGCGATGCCGGCGAAACGTTTGAGCATGTACCAAGTCCACTGTCTGATGCTTGTAATCATGACAATTACTATGGCAGACGACTTCGGACTAGATGCGTACTACCAAGTCACCATGACAACAAAACTAAGTTGCGACAACAAGGTCAATCCACTTTTGTAAATGAGTAGGTTTTCGGGACTACCTATATATTATATATATATTAGTTGTAAGATGTTGAATGACTAGTTTCCCACAAGCATATGAGTAGAGCTGATGTTTTTCAATGAATTTCACATAACCTTGCTTTCCCAAAACGTGTTCTCATCCTTTCATACTTCCGTACTGTCCAAATTACGCCTTCCATCTGGCTCCTTGATTGGGTTCACTTAACTAAAGGCTGCTTAATAAATTAAATTAATAGCCACTCTAGCCGTTGATGCACTTGCAACAATTGCTGATATATCATGGATTATAATTACGGTTGGTCGACCCTTGGCTAACAGCTTGCCGGAAGTAATTATCATTTGACTCACCCAGTTCTGGCGAAATTAGCCCAATACTGCATCATGACGTCACTCAGTTGACGCTCCTCGTGTGTAAATGAGTAGAACTCGCGCTGAAATGCGGGGCTGAATGGCATGCCAAATACGTACTCGATCTCGTAGCCATGCATGGTGCCCATCCATCGAGGAAGTGGTACGGAAGATGTACGCCTACGAAACTCGTAAAGATAGACGGGCAGTGTCACAGAACGCCGAGTCAGGCTGAGTCCGCGATACTCATTGACTACCTGTCGGGCCATGTAGATTGTGGGGCACTTGAAAGTACGGTCACTGCTGATCGCCTCGAGGCGCTGAGTCCAGGCGGCGCGTGATTCCTGAAGATGCGCAGAAAGAGAAGCGGAGGAGGAGAGTGAGCGGTAAAAGGAAGAGAATGAGGAATGGGAGTGGAAGTGGAAGAGGGAGTAGGAAGATGAGGAAAGGAAGATGGAGAAGGGGGATGCGGAGTAGGAGAATGAGGAGGAATAGAAATAAGAAGAGGAGCAGGAATGGAAGGTTGAGAAGGAGAGAAGAGAAAGAGGAGGATGAACAAGATAATTTCTTAATAGAGTATTACATTTTGTCTAGAGACCTACTCACTGGACGACCTCGCCTGGAATCTCACATCTGCCTTGTGACTCACAAGCACCCATGGTTGAATATGGATGGGCAACCTGATAGCTACAGTCGGCCGTGGACGAGAAAACGTTTTGGGAAACAGAGCCGAACTAAATGCAATGGCATCTTGAGGCCTACTCATGGGATTGTGAGAAAAAATCCATCACCAGTTTTTCTACTTAACATTTAGCAGCATCATCATCATCAGATTTTGTACAATTCCGTGGACGCCAAACTTTCTTGAAAAACTTGCCTACTTAAATAATGAAATCTCACAGACTATCAATACACATGGGAGTAACCGACTTCTGATGATTATGACATTACTTTTCATTTCTTGAGAAAATTTGTTAAGAAAGAATTCGTGAATAGGTCTTATCGGAAACAGGAGGATTGCCGCGGACTGAAGACTATTGGATTGTTTGAAGAACTCCTCGACTCCGATAG